TATTTTCAGTGCGAACGTAGGTTTCCTGAGTTTTACAAAAAAGAGGACATATCAATAAATTATGAAAGGTTTTGTGTTTTAGTCATAGGATTAGCAAAGATTTTCATACCATTTGAAGTTCATGTTGAAGCAGACTGTGATGTCAAAAGCTAGGAAACCTTTTACTAACCAGGGTTCGTTGTCCGTTGACCAAATTACTAGCTTCATCCAGATAAATTTTAGTCCTGCGGGTCATATTATAGTATGATATTCTTCGTTCCCATAGTTCTCAACAAATGTGTGCAAATGCGGAGCACGGCACAGAAAAATGTTGATATTTCTGTTGAACCACAGAAAGTGTTTGACAGAAGAATCGATGACAGTAATAAAATCACTTAAATGCGTAAAATAGCCTTCAAAAGATTCGAGCTCGTTTACGTACAGTTTCACGAGAAATCCGCACAATGTGCAAGGTTTTAAATAGAAATGATGTACAGCTAATAAAAATTATTGATGATGTCGATGTAGTCGTTTTGGTTCCCAACCACACAATTGTTGAAGCTAAAATTATAAATACTGAGAAAACTATTCAACAATTAATACGGTGAGGTCATCAATAATGAACGCGAGAACAATTACTTGAAATTGAACGGCATAGTATGGCTCAGTTCTGTAGACGTTGTCTTTATGTGTCTTTATTTTTCTACCCCCGTTTCAAATATGTTCTTCAAGAGTGCTTAGCATCGTACTGTTAATTGCCATGATACAATGAGTCAGGATAGACAATTATGCGAATTTCACTTAAATGCTTATAGATTAGATAGTTACATCATGACAAATCTACAATTTCGGGATAAGCTCTATTATAGTAGCACCGATAACGAACTGGGCGGTGTTTCCACAAATCTACATAAAAAAATAAAAATTGCTGTTCAGCTCAGTTAGAAAGACATCAAAGGCGTACTATTTTACGAATCATCTGATGTTCCGGGAGCTAAGATCCACTAGAACAATAAACATATCTCTGTTGAAAATTTTGAATGATTCAACAAAAGAAAAAGAATTATCAGGCGGTGAGTGAAGCATGAAAAAGCACAGAGAAAGTGTGAGTCACGTTATAAGCCTAAAACAGAGCAGAAAGTAAATCAATGGCGAGGCACATCAGTGAGGAAGTGTGCTATGCACCTTCCAACGATAACAAAAAAAAATTTCAGAGAAAAATATAAGAGAACTGTTTCGGCTTTGAAAGAACTAAATGGTATATTTCTTCTTTTACGTTATTTTGGTTAGCATAAATTAGATTCCATTATCAGTTTGTTGACTACCATTAAATGACTCCTGTTGAGTTGCAAATCATTAGGAATTTCAATTTCCACTAGTTGTGATGCCATACATGGACCACCATTTTTTGCTAACATTCTACCAAATGCTTAATTTCATTAATTATTGAATTTTACCTTCTTTACTCTACTTATTATCACGAAAGTATTTCGAATAGTTTCTAGGTGACGGAGCAAACATTTCTGAAGAATTTCCTACTCCATATGGGTTATTGTGACCATAATACTTACGTGTCTGTATTCAAAATGTGTTCCCAAGTGAAGACCGAGAGGCTGTGACGATGGATCACGGGTGAACTTTAGGAGGCTGTAGGAGGCTCAGAGGGAGCCGAAGATATTCCATCCGATCACCTTTTAGAAGAATATACTGGAATTCCAACGTGTAGCCTCCTGATTGTTCAATGCTAATAACCCCATGTACGCGGATTGGTGGACTGTAATGATGATTTCGTTTTTACTAAAAACTATTAATACCTGACAATTTTGTACTATAATTGACACTGTCTAAGAATAATATTCCTTTCATTAGTCTTCTGTCTTCTCATTGCGACTTGCAAGGTTTCTGGCGTTCTATTGGTCACGTCATAAGTGGCATATCAAGCAAAACCTTCCAGATAAAACAGAGGCCTTAAAACAAAAGTATCTAAAGAGTTAATGAACTAACGAGATGACGAAGACATGATTGAGGACGAACAGTGAGTTTAGAATCCATGATGTGTTTTAAACGACAGTTGGTAAAAGAAGTGTATTTACGCCAATAAAATAATATAACAGTTCGGAAATTTTCACACCTAATAATAAATGATTAGATTGAATAGTATCCTAAACCTTGAAACATTACTAATCTATAAATAAATAAATATATTCAGAATATCCCAATGAGTAGAAAAATCAAATTTTCCAAATCTCCGCCCCTCAGTGTAAGTCATTTCTTCAAAGAATAAATAATCAAATCAAAACTAGTCCGAGTTTAAATTTTGCAAAAGAACAACACAACAAATGTCACGGAGCTGCAGTCATATCATTCATCAAGTTCAACAACGGCAACCAGTAAGTGTCTGATAAACTCAAATAATTAAATTTGATTAGCATTCGGTGGATAAATTGTAAAGCAATACAGTCACGAAATAAGTTTCTATAATAAGGGGGTTCTGTTCTGTGCTTTGACGTGAATCATGTACAGCATGTTCTAAAGATGATATTTGGCCCCATTAACAGAATCACTTAGAATCGTTAGCTTAATTACTTGTTGTGACACTGAGTGTTTCCATTTCTGGAAGTGTACTTGGATCAATAACCAAAAAGTAAACAACCCCAGTCGGTCCAAGAAAAACGATGAGAAGGGAAAAAACTAAACAGGGCTTCTGTCGTAATTAAAATCTCATTCAAAACGACGTAGATTTAGTTCGTTAGAACCATAGAAATTCGGTGGAAACGTAATAAAAACAAGAACTACAATAAAAATTTCTCCTGCTCATCCAGAATAAAAAGATCAGCGTGATGTATAGCTGACGAAACATTAAAGAATAAATTATAAAATTTAGATATGAGGGATTTTTTTAAATAATCACAAAAAACCCTCAAAATGCATCTTACAACACGATTGGTTTAAGAATATGTTTGTTTCATACTGTCACTATAATAGTCATGTCAATTAGGCGTTACGACAGGTTGAATCAGGTTAAGCATTAACTGTAAGATGTGAGTTGGACGTAGGTGGTATGACCTACCAGTCTAGGTCGAACCGGATTAGAATTCAATCACAGGCACAGATCACCGACACCCACGTAACATCGCGAACCCAATAAAAGTTAGTGACGCAGTGAAAGACCAAACACACAATAAATCTTATGAATATATCGCACCCAGACACCATACAACAACTGAACTTAAAAATCACTCAAGTACATTAACAAAGAGACGAAGTATATGGAACAAACCTAGGAAGTTTGAAGGATACAAATAAAAACTGAAAATGCACGGCCATCAAAAAATTTTGAAGTGCGTTCAGGCATGTTCACGACAAAGCGATTATAATGACTAGTAAAACGTCGTTTCATAGGAAGCTCTGGCAAAATAATCATCACACAGGTATACTTCAACCCACTTTTTAGTCAAGTAAAAAATAAGCACTTGTATGGAGTGATAACTTCTGTATACCAATTTATTAATCGCCTGTTTATTTCAAGTAACTCATAAGTGACTCCAGGGATATAAAATTCTTCACGCATGAGACAGTTCTGCGCCGTCAGCAGATCGAAATTTGTGAATACAATTAATCAGTGGACAAGTATAGTAAAGAGTTGGGCGGGGACTAAGCAAAAACATCATTAAGTGTGCCAAAATTAGGGATTACAATCTCGGCTATATGCTAAGAACACCTAAGTTAAATATAGTGGCTCTTTGTTTTAACAAAGCGATGAGACGCTGACCTATCTTAGGAGGTAGTTTCACAAAAGGTGGGTTGGAGAAAAATAGTCGGGGTTCCGTTAAGGAAGTGGAAGTCTCGAAACAATTAGTGTTGTTATATAAATGGTGAAAAAGTATTCGTCTAGCGCATTATCAGAGACTTGTACGTACAAGTCGGTGCCGTATCGATATATCGATACAATTTGTGGATAATTCACAACTATACCCAATCTCCCAATTTTGGGGAAAATTTGGGCGGATAAAGAATACAGCTGTGTGTACAATCTTTTGAACGGCTTGGTTGTTGATCAGCGTTATATGTAGTGTGGTGTGTATTTTTATAACAACATGTATTTTCAGCAATATTTAGTCCGTTTACCAACTTTAAAATTATGCGAAAGTAATAATGTTGCAGCATCTTTCTGTTTAACACCAGAACACCCGTCTTTGTGGTTCCATACGGTCATTGACGTTCTCTTTACCTTAATTTTTTTTCCACAGTCGTATTTCGTTAAAGTTCAGGTCTTGATGTAAAGCAGTTTATTTAGTAGACTGTCATTTACGTTTAGCCCATCTTAGAGTTGATTAGCGTGCACTTGCTCGGTTAACTTATTGACAATAATCTGTGCAAAACATCGAACAATAGCCTTTTAATTACAGTTACTCTATATCCTTTCCATATGGACCTAAGTATCACTTTACAACAATATTAAAATGACATTTTAAACTTTGATGACACCTTGTGTAACTCAAAAATGTATTCCTTTGGATGGGGTCAGGTTTCATCACATCACAGTTTTCGTCAAGCGGAATTGTATATTCTGTATAGTTCAATCAAGAACCTCTAAATTAATGATTAATGTTCAAGTACTGAGGTAATCTAAGGGTTACGTTTGCCCATACTCTGTTCTTGGGATGCGGTTTTTATTCATCCCATTATTATCCCGAAGGACTCAACTATTTAATTGCAGTTCATATGTGTCATCCCAACATGATACTACTATTGTAGTTATGGTGAAATAATATTCCACAGTTCAGAGCGCGAAATATCACTCTTAGCTTATTCGATACTAGCAGATTGCCTCAGTATGAATACATCCTTTTGTATTCTGTCTGTGTGGCCTACAAACGTATTCTGTAGTAACAATAGAACCAGTGTAAACTATAACTCTGCAACTAAGTATAACTACTTATTGATATAAACCTTGTAATACCATCTTTCTTTTTCAGGTCTTGCCTTTGCTTTCACTTTTAGTGAATACAAATTCTCTGATGTCTTCGTGCGAAGACCTTTTTCAAAGTTTCTCTCGTAAACTTGATATTTCCAATATATCTAGTGACCTTTTCTCTGACTCATCTACCAAATCACTTGGAGTAAAGTTGTAATAACTTTCATGAAAAGACTTATTATTATATTTTCTTAAAGAGAGAAACGGAAGGACAGACAAGACCGTGTGACTCATAAAGTCGGTGAACTTATTCCAGACTTTTCTTCGTATGAAAAACATGAATTAGTTGTGGAATCGGATCTTAGTAACCATACACCTAGTTTTCACTATCAACTAGCGAATTGTAAGCTGGATTTTATCATTTAACAATTATTTACAGGTAAAAAAGAACGTAATACCCCACCTGAGTATCTTCCGAATTTGGTTGTAAAAACCAAACCTTATGATATTTGCATTAGTTCATCTACTGCATTCTGTAGTACTCCTGGACCTTCAAACTCCCTTTCCACCTTGAAGTCGCATAAAAATGCTCATGATTTACCAGCACCTAAAATTGTATCAGGTGATGCTTTAGTGAATACTCTTCAGGTTAGTTGCCTTTTGTCCAAGCGGATCACAATCCAAACCCGTGTATAATTTTGCTTATTTCAGTCAATGTTTAATCCTTATTAGCTTTTAATATCATTCGTTACATGCTGGTCAGTTTACGCGGTATTTTACAGATGAGTTCTTGAGCGATTTGGAACAGTTGTAACATAAAGTATGAAATCAAAGTGCCTCTGTCTTTTCAACTCTTGAATCCTAATTTATAACTTCTAATAGAGATCTACCTATTTCATGGGCACAGAAATCTAATATCTATTCAGATCAAAATTTCTGGTCATCTAATTAGTTTCTGTTTTGTATACGTCGAGTATACTTATGTTGCAATTGTTCTTCTTTTCTTGATCTTATTTTTGCTCCCAATTGCAACTGAGTGAGTTCCGCGAGTTATTGTTAGGTCCATATCAAATAAAATTACAAAATTGTCGACGTCCCTGATCAATAACATACCTCGACCACAGCTACTGCTTCAAAGTGGTTGAGTTTGCACATCATGATGACTCAGTCGAGCCATATTGCCTGAAAAATTCGTTACTTCAGGTTCTACTACGCTAGGCAGGTCAGTTTGAGAAAAGTAAGACCAGCAATAGAAACTTAAGGCATAAAGTCGAAGTCCTACTACTGACTGCACTGGAAAATGAAGGGTGGAATTTCCCTCAGACAACCAGTATCTTCAAGGATATTGCTTTCTTACAACAGAAAAGCAAGAGGTTAGGAAAATTCTCCTTTAAAAAAAACACACCTCACTTTGTATCACAAACTTCTGTAGCTAGCGGTAAGGCCTCAAAAGTACTGCGCCGATACATCTAAAAGCACTCAGAAAAAGTTGTTTTTCTGCCCACAAGTGGTTTCCTCTTAGACATTGAGGTCATACTCCCAAGTTAATATAATCACTATCTGATTTCCTTCCCAAGTACCTAAAAAAGAAATATGGACAAATGTGAAATAACAACTGACCTCAGCTATAACCGCTTTTAATGTTATCCACACGTAAAACTGAAAACGACACAGTTTACCACCATGCCTACTATTAGCTTCGTCTCAAGCTCATTCGAATAGATCCAAAATTTTGTGAAATAATACATGACATCCTACTGATAACCCTCAATGTGACAATTCTGAAGTCATATTGCCATTAATACTGAAATAAGCTATATTGATTGGAATCCAATGTCTAACTAACTTTGCGTTTGCAGAAAGTGTGTGTGAAAATTGTACTCAAAACTGTCATTTTGGTTTTTTCAAACAGTTTGAACTTAGATTCAGTGAAATATTTGTAACCAAGACACTAAATTTTCAAACCTTTAAGTTTCATTCTCGAGAACTATTCTCCTTTTTATTAGTTGGACTTATTTATTTAAAAACATAAACATTGGTACAAGGAGGCACCAAACAGACATGCATCACAAATCATTCGATTTATGTGAGGGCTGTGATACTGTCCGGATGCCCAAACCAAAACAGGTGGTTTTCTTAGAAAGCCATACCCCGAGCCTTTGATCTAAAGGTCTGATCTACAAAACAGAGGAACAACGTAAGGAGATTCAGTCCCATGGTAACCCGTAACCAACAATTGGTTCATACGCCATTTGTTTCCTTAGGATCCTGGGGCACATGTACACCATTAGTTTGGAATCAGGGTTTCCAAACTCCTCTAGGTGGACCCTCCGTATCCACCGATCCCGTTAATGCGCCGAAAGTCCGCATTTCGTTCTCTCAACTTCGTAAACAACAATAATGCCACGAAAAGGCAGTGATTAAGTTTTCTCAGGCATTGGTTGTTTCCACGTGGCTACTTGAGAGCATTTCGAGAGGGAGAACGGACTTTCCCCAGTCTCGGCCGTACCAGGGCATTCGGAATTAGTTTGTTAGTTTTAGTAGTCTTCATACGTAAAATTTTACTTAAAACTGAAAACATCAAACTCTGGTTAATCACTAAATGATATGTCTTTACTCGTTATTTGACATAGAGTGAGTTGTTCAAGAGCGAATGAGAGTGAGAGACACTTTCTAACTTCCAAGTCCTTATAAAACATACAGAAGTTTCCCACTTAATAATACCATATATAATTAACTAACAATAATTTTATGCTGTCAGATTTCATATTCGCTGAATTCTCTTTAAAAGTTGATGCTTACAATCAATATTATATATCGTTTCTACATAAAATATATCTGTTAAGTCCTTCGAACAGTTATACTGTATATTTTGAAGTGTTATATGTCTTTGTTGTTAACTTTGAGTTGTTATAGAAAATCTAAAGACAGAGTACATAATGAATTGATTATTAGTGAGTGATTTACAATGATTGTAGATTTTCACCCATATTAAATAATAGTGTTGTGTTTTCAATCATCCACTTACTTGTACAGTTGTATTACGTTCAGTCGCTGACAGTATAGGTGCATGATTGGAAACACTTTTGCCAATGCATAATCTATTATGATTTTATATTCTTACTGTATTTTTATATTCTCCTATTTGTAAGCTTTCGTTAGTTATATCAGCTACTGTTCTCTGTTGTAGATTTATTACGGACGTAATATTTAATTCTCCACTTATGGTATAGTCATGTATACATTATACTTCCGTATTTACAATGCTGTGTACTCAGATAATTTATCTTATCATATGAGTCTTGATATATGTACAGAACTGTACAATAGAAGTTTATCTGTTGTATTTTTGTTCTATTCTTGCTTTCGGAGATGCATCTTAGACCTATAGACGTTAAGTATTGATGCCGATCATTTTCTCACCGTCATTGATTTATTGGTCAAAGGGAGATCATAGAGTCATTGGGTATTAGGAAGTCATCGGTCCTATTTAAGCAATTCAGACTAATCAATCAATAATTCGACTAGATAATACAGCTGCTCCCCAGTTAGACGTCCCGATCACTCGTGGACAAATACACTACCCAGAAACTTGTTCTTTTCTTGCCATTACATCAATTTGAGGTATTTTCAATCTAGTCAGCTGCGGATTGCGGATCAAGTAGACATCATAACTGTAGAGCATATGACAGACAAATAGACCTTGTATTTTCATTGACAAAAAGGTTAAAATGTAATAAAATAACTGTAAATTTTTTATCAAATTAAAAGTAGCGTTGGTCAAGAATGAAAATGGAAATTATCAAGTATCAAATAATGTAACTTGTTCATTAATTATCAGCTTGTATACTTGCATTTTAAGCTATAATTTCATGCGAAGGCCAGTAATTAAAATCTGGTCATTCAAACTAAAGTGAGCAAAATACGATTCATATCTATAACCAAATGAATGGATTTTTATTATTAAATGCTTTGATGCGGCCGAGGATGGGAAGAGTCCGCTCTCCTCGAAATGCTCTCACATGGCCACGCGTATACAATCACTGCCAGGGCAGTCCTACTCGTTGCCTTCTCGCGGCGGGGGTATTTACGAAATTGAGACTAAGAAAAGCGAATGTCCGACGCTTTAAACGGGTTGGTAGACATGGATGGTCCACCTAGGGGAGTTGTAAAACCCTGATTACAAATGAATGGTGCACATGGGCTCCAGTATCCCGAGGGAACCAAAGATGTATGAACCAATTTTTGGTCATCGGCTACCATGGGACTGAATCTCCTTACATTGCTCCATTACCTTGTGGACTAGACCTTTATGTCAAAGGCTCCGGGTGTGGCCCTCTAAGGAAACCACCTACTTCGGTTTGGGTGCTCGGGCAGTATCACAGCCCTCACACAAATCAATGATAACTGCTACTGGCCTCACTGTTATTGTGTGACGCATATCTATTTGGTTCCCTCTTGTACCAACGTTTATATATCCAAATAAATATGGATATCTTTCTATGTCACCATGTTATTTTTATTGTTTCAGTCAAATACTTTCATATTACTGCTTTTGTTCATTCAAGTCAATATGAGCTATACTCTTAATATAATCACCATTAAATTAATTTGACTAACGTAGTTTGTATAACTACACTGATTGTTGTTATTAAAGTGGATAACCTCAACCTAATAAAACACTCAAAACAAATAGGTAAGTTTTAATTACAACTAGTAGTGTACTGATTTCGGAGCACATCTGATACTTATCAATAAATGTTTTTTAAATTAAAATTAGTGTTTACTAGTATCTATCCATGAATATTGTTGCCGCCTTTCAATAAAGTGATAGCTTTGCAAACGTATGTTGATTTAATTAAGACTGCTAAAATTTACAAGCATCCATGGTAACTGCTGAAGTGTTCAATTCTTATCCTTTTTTATTTAGATTTGTTCGTATCAATAAAAGTGACTCCGTCTATGAGTCGTCATATCTTGAAAATTCCCTTTATCATCTATCCAAACTATTAATCTATTACGTAATAATTCAGTTTCCTGAATAATTTATACTGATCTATGAGAATTTTTAATGCTATGTTTTGCACCATCTTTCAGTTATTAGATAAGGTTTCATGTAATTCTCATTAACCTTAATACTCTGGTAACTGATATAAATTCAGCATCGATATAATTACCTCGATTGACATTTATTCAACCATGTTACCTGTGTTGTCAAAACTTTCACTGAGACACTTATTTCTTTCCTATCAGTAAAATGTAGAAAAAAAGTCGGTCTTTATTTACATAGGCCTGTTACTCCCAATGGAGCATAGGCCACCGACCAGAATTCTCCAACCCACTAAAGTCAGTCGTTACATCCGTATTATTATTTTTTGACAATAAAACCTAAATATTCGTTTTTAAAATATTTTAGGTTACACCTATTCATCCAGTATTCACAAATCGAAAATCTAATGTGAATTTTAAAATGGGAAATAGTTCACCACAAGTAAATTGTCAACAAACTTTAACACCATCCTATCACTCTATTTCTACATATAATAAGAATGAATTAGTAAGTGATATAATTTCAGTTGTCGACTCATTCTTATTAAATTTTGCTTATTACATAAAAGATGTATTGTTAACTCACAATATATATCTTAGTAACTTTGCTTGTTATCGTCCATGCAACATAGGTCGTCGACTAAGATTCTCCAACCCACTCTGTCCTGGAATATTTGTTCTTTTAATATCTGCCTCCGATTCCCGGCCCAATGTGTTCTTTGATCCTCTCCTCCTTTTGCCTTGATGATTCTAAGTTACGGCTTGCATCATGATCCAGCTTGATGATTCCCTCAGTGTATGTCCTATCCACCTCTAATGTCTTTTCCTAATTTCCTCTCTAACGGGAAGCTGGTTTGTTCCCTGCAAAAGTGAGTCGTTGCTGATAGCGTCTGAGTAACGGATCTGAAGATCTTGCCCAGACTACTGTTCAAAAATACATGTCGCTTTTTGATGATGGTTAAATTAGTTCTCCAAGTTTTAGCTCCACACAGTAGATCTGTCTTGACGTTTGTATTGAAAATTCTGACTTTGGTGTTGTCTGACAGTTGTTTTGATTTCCATATGTTCTTCAGCTGTAGAAACCGTGTCCTTGCTTTGCCAATCCGTGACCTCACACCGACATATATAAGTCTTGGTAAATGAAAGCCTTTCCGTCGTAAAAAATAACCAATGATAATCTTTTAGGAATTGCCTAATGTAATATTATTTAGATGGAACAGAAAGAGAGTTTCAGTAAGGAAATCAAGCTGGCCTATACTTATTCACGCGTAATTAACAAAAAAGAAAATAGTCAACTCTCAACGAGGGAGGGAAGTGTAAAATGTATGTATTGTGACTGTATTATTAAATAGGAAACTAGGATTTATTCCCCTTCTTTGACACAGGGTTAAGTATTCAGATCAACCGCAGTTCGTTTTGAAATAATTCATTTGGATGTCGAGTATAGTTTTAGATGACAGAAAAATCGTTGTTGTTCGGTGTCTGATTCTAATGCTGACATATAGGTTTCTTATGCACGAGCCAAAACAGCTATTTGAGTGGAAAAGAAACCGAATCGGGAATGTATGTAAAATCATACATATATTCACTAAAAGATTAAATCACTAGTGGTATATCTCATTTCTCAGAAATGTAAGTCATTTCTCAACTAATCTCGTACATTTTTCATTTCACCAATTTCTGATTTGCACCAATGTATCACAAAATATTAAACTCAATTACGACCTGTTATGTATGATGAACATGTGATTGTATATGGAATAAAGTGTCTATTTATTTTGGAATAGATTAGTTAACTAAAGCTCAATATACTATAGTTATGTTGTATAAAACATGTGTCTTCAGTATGCTTATCTCTACTGTTTTTCTTTCACATTAGATAACCATCATTTATACCAAGAAAAAACTCACTATCATCACCTTGCTCCATTTCTCATTGAAGAAGCATGTTGTCGGTCTCGTAGATTACATTACTGACTGATTTTAGCTAAATATCTATCCATCCATCCCCACCGGGAATCGAACATAGAACCTTGGGGTCGTGAATGTGTACTGCTAAGGAGTCGTACACTGAAAGGAAGCAGCTATCTAGTGCTCTCTGGTTCTCAATAGATATTTAACTAGATTGATTCGCCAGCCGCTTGGGTATGAGTCACACTTAATGTGACCGATAGTGATAATACTCTGTCGACCAAACCGAACTTGGTGGAGCAAGTTTCGAACCTGGAACTTAATGGGTTAAAGCCAAACACCCTAAACGCTAAGAGGCCGCTCCATCCTGGTGTTTGTCTAGTATTAGTCTGTATTGTATTCAATGGGATTCACTAATCTTTAATCATTAAGAAGTTGTTACTTAATTATGACTGTTACCCCTCATGGAGGAGCATAGGGCCGCTAACCAGCGTTTTCCATCAAAATCTGTCCTGGGCAATCTTTCAAGTTGTTTCCAGGTGCTATTCAGCCTCCAATTCTCGACGCAGTATGTCCTTTGACCTTCCTCTTTTTCGTTTCCCTTCAGAATTCCAAGTTAGCGCTTGCCTCATGATGCAGTTTGATGATTTCTTCAATGTATGTCCTATTCAGTTCCAACGTCTTTCCCTAATTTCCTTCTCATTTGGAAACTGGTTTGTTCCCTCTCATAGTAAGCTGTTGCTGATAATATCCGGCCAACGGACATTCAGTATCTTACGTAGAAAATTGTTTATAAGTTATCTTCTTTTTCTTCTTCCAGCCTGTTACTCCTAATGGAGCATAGGCCGCTGACCAGCATTCTCCAACACACTCTATCCTGGGCCTTTCTTTCTAGTTCGATCCAACTGTTGTTCATTATTCTCATGTCTTTCCATTTCTCGGCGTAATCAGTTCTCTGTTCTTCCTCTTCTCCTTTGACCTTGCCTTGATGGTTCCAGGTGAGGGCTTGTCTTGTGACGTAGTTGTGTGCTTTCCTCAGTGTGTCCTATACACTTCCAGAGCTTCTTCGTGATTTCTTCTTCCACTGGAATCTGGTTTGTTCTCTCCCATAGTAGGTTGTTGCTGATAGTATCTGGCCAATGAATCCGAAGTATTTTGCGTAGACAGCTGTTAATAAACACTTGTATTTTCTGGATGATGACTTTCGTAGTCCTTCAGGTTTCCGCCCCATACAGTAGAACTGTCTTGACATTTGCATTGAAAATCCTGACCTTAGTGTTGACAGTTGCTTTGAGTTTCAGATGTTCCTCAGTTGTAAATATGCTGCTCTTGCTTTGCCGATCCGCGCCTTCACATCTGCATCAGATCCACCGTGTTCATCAATGATGCTGCCAAAATATGTAATGGTTTTTACATCTTCCAAATCTTCTCCGTCAATTGTGATTGCATTGGTGCATGCTGTGTTGTGTAGGAGAATCTTGCTTTTCCCTTTGTGTATGTTGAGACCTACTACTACTGAGGTTGCTGCTACACTGTTCGTTTTCTCCTGCATTTGTTGTTGCGTTTGGGATAGAAGGGCCAGATCATCTGCGAAGTCTAGATCGTCCAACTGCATCCTAGATGTCCACTGTAACCCGCGTTTCCCTTCAGATGTCGACGTCTTCATGATCCAGTCAATCACCAGGAGAAAGAGAAAAGGTGAGAGTAAGCAACCTTGTCTGACACCGGTCTTTACTTCAAACGAGTTTGTCAACTGTCCTCCATGCAATATTTTGCAGTTTAATTCATCATATGAATTCTGTACGATATTGACTATCTTCTGAGGCACGCCATAGTGTCGAAGAAGCTTCCATAGTATTGTTCTGTCCACGCTATCAAATGCTTTTTCGTAGTCAATGAAGTTGATGTAGAGTGATGAATTCCATTCAATTGATTGTTCCAGTTTATAAATTATATTCAGTTATATGTTTGTCGAAGTTCTTTTTGCATAATTTATTTCATTTCGAATGATAAATACATAAATTCGCATCAATTTTAAATATTGTATTCTTATTATTAAAGGTTACTCATGGCCTAGATCAAATGCCTTTAAATTCTTCACATGAATTACAATGTTGTAATTTGTCTACTGCATCTACAAACCAACAGATTGAACATGATCAAATTTCATTTCATTCATTTTCTACAGTGAATAAAGTGAAAGCTGGTAAGAAATCTGGATCATACACAAAACGACTTACAAGACGTTTTCGTTGCGAAAATATGATATTGAATCGTTCATATATGGTAATTTAACTGCTATTATGGTTTTTTTAAAAATAGTTTGATTGTGTTTATTTTCTCGATTATTTCCTTCACAATTACGTTGGCCTTCAACCTACATGTCTAATCCACAAGACATCGTAACAACATTAGGAGATCCAGTTTATTAGTAGTCAATGACCAAAATAGGTTCATATACCATTCGATCCGTCCAGGTCGTAGAGCTCATCTACATTATTGGTTTGAAATGAAAACTTTCCAAATCCCATAAAAGGTTTCTCCGTATTCGTAAAGTCAGTGTAAGCCCCACAGATTTGCTTTTATTCAAGTTATTTTCGTAAACTACACCACTTGGTGTAAACAATGGGTAGAAGTTCGCTATCTAAAGCTATAGCTATATGTGACCATTTCGAGAAGAAGGAGCGAACGCTTTCAGTTACAGACCATACTATGACATTTAGGTACATTTCCTCACTCAATCCTTTATCTTATTTGCAGATTACGCTTTGATGTTGTTTGCAGAGCAGTGTAATGAGTACTTGCTGTGTTTGAAGAGATTACGAGATCACCTAAATCGGCTAACGGAACGAAGACTCAGCGACACAATGACAGGATAAGCTAACTATTCCGATGCGTCCCATCCCTGTTAATTAGAGGGAGAAATCCACGTTCAAAAGCACCCAAAATCACGAAAGACAACAAGTACAACTCTAACGTATGTATATAGTATAAAAATATCCCCGGGAAATGTAACAAAATAGTATATTAAAAGAGACAACGAACCATAAACATTTAGGGTTCTTCAAAGTGGGGAAAACAATCTTAAGGTAAAAATGGGCGCATTTGGTGCAAAAACAAGAAAACCAAATTCCTAAAATAAAATCACAAAAATAAGACATTTGTCAAGTGAGTTCTGGGGATCTACCATCCCCGATAGTACTGAGCCCGAGTGTCACTATAGTGTTGAGGTATATCCTGTTGTATTATTGTTTATTCTATCATATTTCCATGTCACTTAATCATCCAATCAAAATATCAGAACACTAGATAAATGGTAAAAAGTACCTTTTATTATTATCGAGAATCATAGATGAAAAATAGGCGCTAAAAATGGGGTTCGATTAAGATCAAGGTTATCTCGAGTAATGTCATAGGCATAAACATGCTTGTCAATTCCCAGCTACCCAAATCATGGAAGGAATTTCTTTTTGAAGTGTCTGTAAAGGAAATTGGGTTAAGGGTGGTCTTGACGACGTGAGAGTGTAACTACTGAGCCCAAAGAATAACTGCTTCAGGCTGGTTACACACAGCTTTTTTGTAAGTAGCTTTACATGTATTTGCTCAGTACTTTTAAGGCCTTCCCGCCAGTCACATAAATATATAGGGCAAGGTGATGTGTGCTACTTTCATGACTGATCTTTTCTTAACCGCTACTTCGTTGAGGTTAGGTAGCATCTCTACATTTGCTGGTTGTCTGTGGGAATCACCTTCCTGACGTCATACTCCTGTACAGTTGATAGCACTACTCCACCCTCAGACCTAAATCTCCTACATTTGCTCTTACCACTAACAAGTCAAACTGTCTAACTTAGTAAGATCTTAAGAAACAGATAGTCCAGACATCATATCGTGGTCTGGTCATCATGATATGCAAGCACGACCATAACTTCAAGGTATCAGTTGCGATTGAGTTCTGTAGTAGTAATGATGTTATTAATTTGATGATAAAGGTAAAAATAAGTGTTGTTCAACTCATTAATGTCGTTGAAGAATGGTAACTTAATAGGTAGTGAAATTTTACAATGTACCTAGTTTTTTAGGGGCTATTCGTCACCGATTGGTTTCAGCTGGAGTATTACTGGAAACTGTGGAGTACTGAAATGGTGTCTCATTTTAGTCTGAGACTCTTCAATCGTGTCTATCCATGTTATTCCGCCAAGAATTAAATCTAATGCATTCAGCTGTCTTATACTCCTTGGTTTTCAATGTCACCTCCTAGTAAGGGCAACTCAAAACTAGTACCATGTATAAAGTAAAATGGTCTTCACTAAATCATATTCTAAAATTTACAAACAATAATGACTCATTTTTATTTCCATTCATTAGACGTTATATGAAGCTGGAGATATTAAAGGGACATTGTTTAAAATTTGTGAACAATCCGATTACAAAACATTTGGACAATTGTTTATCCCAACGTAAGTCGCTCCGTCACTAATTTTTTTGCCTTCACCTTGTCTATACTCGTAGATTTTACATTTCGATGGAGTTTTGTTCTCTGAGCTGGATGGTTTGGTCTTCTCAGTCAGTCAGTAACAACGTAGGACTTCGTACGTACGTACATCAGTTCGAGTTGCTATACCACATTAGCACACATATACAATTGTCTATTGGTCGCCTAGTGAGTTATGTAAGTGTAGACAGGTTATCACAAGTAAACGAATTATCCAGCTAGGCATGATTACTCTCAACATACTTTAATCAGTTCAATAACTTGTATGTATGCACAACTTGCGTATATTATCAGTAAACTTTAACCGTCAAAGCCTCTTACACAGTTTCTATCGTTTTACTCATAGCGAATTTGTCAAGTGTTTTGGGATATCCATGATTAATTGAAGTCCAAGATTACCAAACAGTGACGTTTATAGTTCGTGATTTGTGTCACATTCATAGATGTGTACTTTTTAGTTAGAATCAACAGAATAATTATTGTACATCACCAAAGACTTTTGTAAGTAATATGACTTCATACATAACACACAAGTACATTTATTCATTGTTATTCTGTGTCTTGAAAGTAGTAGACTTAAAAGTCTAATCCACAAAGCAACGGAGTGACGTTAGGAGATCCGATTCCATTGGAGCCGTAAACAAGAATAGGTTCATACGTCATTTGTACTCTCAGGAACTGAGAGTTCATGTAGATCATTGGTTTGAAGTCAAAGTTTTCGAACTTCCCTAGATGGATTTTTCCTGCCCACCAACTTGGTTTAAACGCCGGAAATTCGCTTTTTGTCCTCTCAATTTCGTAAGCAACACCCCTGTCACGAAAAGGCAGCAAGTAGTACTTCCTTCACAGTGGTAATGTATGCATAGCCATACGAGAGCATTTGGATAGGGATAGTAGACTCTCTCCTTTTTAGAATGTTTAGTATCCATCAATGAATAATACTTGCTGTTATTCAATCAATCATAAGTAACTTGGGATCAGGCATATATATGTATCGATTCAAATTACCACACAGCATGTTCTAAAAGTGCCAACACTGTCAGTAGTAATAGTAACGATATTAGTAGGAAACACTAGCCAGGGAGAATACGATTCTAGGAGAAAGACTAGATTCTTAGAATAAAAAATATAAGGTAATCTTAAAATCGAAAATCTATGGGAAATCGGAGAGTGGAAACATATGAGTCATTATGACCGATTCTTTGATTTGTCACAAGTTTCCAACTACTGGGGAGTATAATCACGAGGACCCTAACCGGGTATTCTGCACTTAACTACATGTTTTAAACCAACAGTCACTGAATCTATGGACTTATACCATGTCGTGGTTTGGCTACCCGTAGTTTACTTCGAACCCACCCCTACACGAGCCATCATCGCGCATCGAGCTAGTCGGGGAATTAGCATATGCAATACGTGTGCCAACCGTCTCACTCAATAATGAACCACTACCTCGTCAGTCGATTTCCCATACTTATTCTAGTATTCTGAGTTTAAGCTCGGAATTGTTAACTTGATAATCTCATAATATACGACCGGTGGTACGAATACACCTGTAATCAAGTACTATTAGAAAACTACGAATATCTTTTATTTTTAAAGCACTCGTTACACACACACATAAAGTAGGATTGAGCGAGTTGTTACATATTAAACTCGTTTTTTAGTGTATAGTCGAATATCTCATCTATGCCACAAGTAATACAACTTGACAAAAGCCAAGTGAGATTTTTGGAATTCGTCCCGAATGTTTTATATGACTGACTGATTTAATGTTTCTACTCTGTGGTCTCTATCAAGTGAACATATTTACATTGAACTAATTAATTAACTGACTACGTTTGTTGAGTATTGACTTACGTGTTCACTTGTTTGTTTGTTCGTTTTGTTTTAAACCACACTCAACACAAACATGCTTACGTACATTTATTTTAGTCGTAGGAAAAATCTAAGTAAAATCGGTGAAGGATGCTTTGGTGAAGTGTTTCGTTGTCCAGATGAATCTAATCCAACTGAATATGTAGTCATTAAATTAATTCCAATTGAAGGTAATATTAAATTCAATGGAGAATCACAAAAATCTTTCAGTGAAGTACTTTCAGAGGTTATTGTTTCTAAGTAAGTAATTAAGATTAGGTCCTTTTAATGGTTGAATAATACGTTACGTTAAATGTTTTGAAATGTGTAGAATTTTCCAATTTATATCAAGAATAAATCTTAAATAAAGGACTTTAAAACCAGAAAACACTGAACACAATTATTTTGTCTTAATTGTGGACTCCTCATACATATCCACAGTCTCACTGGGGATTGAACCCTGGTTTAATTGCTAACGTTCAGTTTGTATAATGATTTATATGAACGATGTTGTACAGTAGTTATAAAAAACTGATCATTGGCTATCAAGATTGACGAATCGATTTGTTACAACTTAGGATATACTAAGTCATCTAACCATAAATATATTTATCCAACCGTTTAATCGACAATCGAATATCACTAATCCAACTTTGTATTAATATCAATGCTATCGAGGTTGTTTGCAATATTTTCATTGTTCATCCTCTGTGTTGTTGGTATTTTGTGCAAAATTTGGTTCTGATTATGATGTACAAATTTCCTATACCCAAACTCAACCTGTCTACGTGAATAGGAAGAAAGCTATATTAGCTAAACAGAACTGACCAACATTTGTATATATATGTCCATTAAGAAATTAAGCCACGTGTTCAGCCATTGGCTTTTGTCTTGTTTCACAGAAAAAGAAGCTGTATCTGCAACAGAAGTATACACTTATCATTTAGCTGGATGTCTAGTCGGTCATCAGTTTTACTGATTATGAATCCGAAGGCGATTGACAAGTTTTATCGATGCACCGAGTGGCACTAAAACTGGCAAAGTAGTATTTAATTCTTTGTTACACTTGTGGGGGTGTCTTTACTATCTTCGAATTCTTAAAAACTACCATTGAGGTTTCTCAGATCATATAATGAGAAGAAATAACTCTCGAGTTTATCGTCTACATCATCATGCGTCGATACATTGTTGTAAACTTGACAACATTCCCTGCATGTTTCAAAACCACACCTGGTTATACAAAATTAAGACACCCTGTACGATTTCCTTTCTATGAGTTTCAAACTGAAAGTCAGTTACAACAAAGTTTTTTGGCTCTAACAACCAATAAGGGATGAATTGTGCTTGTTTGTCCTTTCATCAAACAACAGAACCCTGATATACTCTCATAAACAATCAAATGCCTATAAACCAGTTTCTCAGCCTATCTTTTTAAAATAAACAGAGGTACTGTAAAAACTCACTATTTATTAATTGGAATATAAGCTCTTTGTTACATGCTTGAAATTATGTTTATGATTAAATTCACTTAGTGTTGTTTGCTTGTATCTTCCCATTGTTATTTAGGACTACAATTGATCAGTCTCTTGTTGGCATATGTGCATCCTGTGCGGACTGCCTTGATATTGCCTTAGTTCACGAGCTTCATAAGCAAAGATGAATAGTGGCTAGCAGTGGAATCCAGGACGCTCTTCTCGTCCCATTCGCGACTTGTCAGCTGGATGTACTTGCATCCCGTTGTAAAAGCAGGTGGCTATCAGGACTCATTAGCTAATTGGATAACGCTATGGTGTTTGATGCGAACGGTACTGGGTTCAAGTGAACATCAACTCTGAGATGCAAGTACACCCAGCTGACAAGTCCCAAATAGGAAGAAACGCGCGTCAAACTGGATTCCACTACTAGCCACTAACCATCTTTGTTTATGTTTATGATTAGTCGAATGATAAGGTAAAGAAAATGGTGCATTGAATTACAATTTCACACCTTTAAAAATTTAATTCTCACTGACTACATATCATTCATTAATTATGTTCCTTAAAACAATCAATAATTACTTTTCAGAGAACTAACTGCTCTTGGTATGGGTCTTAAAAATAATACATGTGGATTTGTAGAATTGAAAAAGTAAGTTTATATTCGTTTCCCTATATCAAGTTATATTGTGTATGTGTAAATGGAAAATGAATTGATGCATTAAAATTCTAAATGTATTCATAAAGTCAAATAATTAATCGGCATATGAATTCAATTTTTGTTTGTCTCATTTGAATGACATTATACTAGATCTTTTGTGATTCAGTATATTCAATAACTTCTCATCACCATTCAGTCAGTGAGTAACAACGTAGAACTTCGTACGTACGTACATCAGTTCGAGTTGCCACACCACATTAGCACAGAGATGCAGTTGTCGACTCAAATCCCGTAATGGTAGAGGCGGTAAGAGTATAAGCAGTAATCGGAAAGATTAGGAGAAAAATAAGGAAAATGAAGATTTCAGAAGATTAGAATTTGGGAGAACACAAAGATTGGATGCACATGCGCCATTGCAAACGATTTTGAGTCATGTCATTCAAGGTTTCTAACCGTCAGTTGCTATCATTTCGCGGTCCCCAACCAGGTAGTCTACACCTACCAACATGGCTCAGCCCACATGTCAGTCACTTCATGGATTTGTGCCATGTTTTGTTCTGACCGCCCTAGCTTTCTTCCGTCCTAATCCTACATCACAAAACATCGCACGTCGGTGCGGTTGGTGGTTGGGCATACGTAACACATGTCCCAGCCATCTCAACTGGTGAAGTTTCACTACTTCAATTGATTTGCCATCCTTACCTATTGACCGTTTCCTAACAGCTGCACTACTTACTCGGTGGTCCCAGGATATACGAGCAATGTTTCGAAGATACCTCCGATCAAATACTAGTAACCTACCAATATTCTCTACTCTTATCGGCCATGTTTCACTGCCATGAAGTAGGACGGAACAAAATGCAGCGCAGTTAGCCCATCCTTTGTTTGGTAGACCGATATCTCGCCTACGCCATAAATGACGCAAGTTGGCAAAAGCTAGTCGAGCCTTCTGTATCCGTGCTGAGATTTCGTCACACACTAGACCACATGGGCTGATGAGACCATTACAAACTAATTACAGTCTAGATGAAATTAAACAATTCATCCGATCATATTAAGTGGTCAGTTTTTCACCAAGTTTGTTTGACGATAAATTTTGATGTTAACTGGTGACTTGAATTGATCAGTTATGCATCTGAACGTTATACAACGTCCTGTCGATGGCTTCCATGATTGAATGGTGAAATACCACAATACCCATCTCTTAATGATATAGTTAGTACAGCTAAATAAAGGATTAATTATGCTCAATTAACATTTATAATATACACTATAACTCAATGTAAGACAACTCTCAGTAGAATTACCCACTTATAACTTCAGGTAGAATCGAACTCAAAACATACAGTTATTGTGACAAACACAATATGCTTCTATCATTAAGTTGAAAATCAATTATCTAAAAACTGTTTCAGGTAGGTGGCTGAATATAGTCGACAGAAAACCCTTGTTGGATCTAATTTTCGTGTTGGTTAGGACTAAGTCAACAAAGCGTATCTACAATTTTGAGGAAAATAATGTTTCATCCACCTAATCTGAACTGTTTATTGGTTTATTTTCTATATATATTTGTTTCAGAGTTCATCTTATCCAAGGTTCATTTCCTGCATATTTGAAAAAAGCATGGGATAAATATGATAAAGACAAAAAATCAGAAAACGATAATCCAAGTAAGATAGAAAAAAGTATGTACATATATAATCATTTTTGCGAAAGGTAGAGTAACTTATACCAATCTGAGCCATCTTCGGCGCCCTCGTGATGTCAGCGTGGTTGTTAAACATCTAATCTACGACTCTTCATTAAGAACAGTTTTACTCTATGCTCATGAAACCTGGTCTCTCAGACTTAATGTTAGATAACTCTCCGTCTTCGATGATTGTTATCTCCAAGGGATTGCCGACATTCAGTTGCAATGCCATGTTAATAACGCAGAAGTTCGGCAACGTGTAGTTGGACACAGTGACGTTAATCAAACTAGTGTTAACATTTTGAAAAAACCAACTTCGGTAGTTTGGGCATATACTACTAATGTCGTTTCAGTGAATTCCACGTCACGTATTATTTACTGATACTGGGACTGGTTATAAAAAGCGAACAAGCGATCAGTTTACAACATGGTCCAGGGATATGAAAGAGAGTTGTCCAGGATTGCCATTTGTCAGTCTTTCACATCTCCCGGGTTGGAGTCCTAGAGATAGTCCCTTGAGTCTTTATCAGACATGGCTCAGAATATAAGCCAGTGGTGGTTATGCTGGAACTCTCGGTGAGCCGGTATCCCACTATTCGCACTTCCAGCTTCATTTATTTTATGATATTTAAAGACCATCATTCATAGACGTTGACACTAACTGTCTCTGACTTCTGATCGTGACTGAAATCCAGTTCATCACAGATTTTCAGATCGTACTGTTAACTATTTTCTAATTAAACTAACCACATAAAACCTTATGAAATACGTACTTATTTATATGGCTTTGAATGTAGATCGACAATTAGCTTGAAGATTTCAAATCTGTTGTTTTGATTGTGAATTTCTATCGACCAAGGTTGCTTTCATATGTGTTGTATCTGCCCAGCTACCACCAAATTTGATATGCACTGTTTACTAGTAAATTAGAAGAAAACTAGTTGTCGTTGGACTAAAATCTGTCATCAATCCATTAACTCGTTGACTGTCGAATTAAGCCAAGTTTGTAGTAGCCGTCTTGGATCTATAGTTGGATGAAATGGGTCAGAATCGATCATAGTAGTCTATATGCATCTCATCTTTTTCGATTTTGAATCCCAATACCTTATCATACATTTCGGTCTATTCTATTTTCTTCAACTGTTTTGTCTGCAATAACGTCATTTAACCAGCGATTAAATTTTACATCTTATCGAAACATTAACCCACTAGTGATGACCATACATCATCTTTTTTACACCCGTAATAGTACTAAAATTAAATTCATTTAATTATTTATCATATTAAACAAAAGTTTATTATCAGGAGGGGTTTTGTGGAGATTTTAGTAATTTCAATAGTTGAACTCCTAAGTCGTGGATTGATTGAAGTTAGACATTAACACCGTTGATGCCGGCTTAGTGGTCTAATGGTTAAGCGCTCACGCACGAGACTGATAGGTCCTGGGTTCGAATCTCGAGGTGGGCGGGTTCGTGGATGCACACTGCTGAGGAGTCCCATACTAGGACGAAACGGCCGTCCAGTGCTTCCAGGTTTTCCATGGTGGTCTAGCTTCAATTGACTCATGATTTCAATTATTGAAAAGTATATTAATTCATCTCTCTCTCTTTCGCCTTTAAGGTATCTTTCCTAAAACTCAATTATGGGTTGCTTTAGAATCAGCATTTTGTGGAGTTACTCTAGAAAATAATGTTGTAAGTTAATTAAATTATCCCGGTGTTGATACTTTTTTGTTGTTGACTATAATTTGTTCAGTTTTATTTGGTATCTGTGGTTCCTGTACCGATTGTCTTGATATAGTCATTATGACAAAAGTTTATATACCATAGATGAAATGTGTGGTTGGCCGTGGGATTCAGTACATGAGTTTCATCCTATTTGGGACTTGCCTTTAACTGGATGTGCATACATCTCAGATTTGATCTCCACTTTGGGACTCAAACTCAATAACTTTCGTTTGAAATGCCAGGGTGTTCAAATCTCGAAATGAATATTGACCCTCCAATTCAAGTAGATCCAGCTAAAGACGAGTCCTAAACAGGACGAAATGAGTGTCGTGAATACTAATGCTAGCCATATTCCGTCTATTCTATACTACTAGTATTGTTAGTCGTTAAGCAATGCAATAAAAGCTTTATCTTTTTGTCTAGTATTGTTGTTATTACTACCACTTTTTTGTAGTTAAGTAAAACTTGATATCGAATATATTTTGGCTACAATAGTCTTTCTAGTAAATGAATCAACTGAAATAATCCTCAGTTATGAACCAAATGAAGTGTACTTAAATCATCAACCCCATCAGTGTGTCATTCTTATTGAGTGTTTACTGTATGTATACTTGGATTATTCATCCCAATGATTCCCTGTAAGTATTGTTATATCATTTAATTGCCAAGAAATCACTTCTCTTACTACTCAATTGACCTAATGAACCATGATTTTGTTCTGTTCCCAAAGAGCTAAATGATCATGTGGACTATGTGACAGAAATGATGAAAAGGCAACTGATGAATCTTACATGAATGCCCCTAAATGCCATGGTATGGCCGAGAGTGCGGTGGGCCCGCCCTCCCTCTCGAAATACTCTCACACGGCCACGCGTATACAGCCTCTGCCAGGGAAGTCCTACTCACTGTCTTCTCGTGGCGGGGGTGTTGTTTACGAAAATGAGAGGACGAAAAGCGAATGTCCGGCGCTTTAACCGGATCCCAAACCAATAGTGCACATGGGCCCCAGTATCCTGCGGGAACAAATGGCGTATGAACTTTACGTTGTTTCTCTGCCTTGTGGATCAGATCTTTAGGTCAAAGGCTCGGGTGTTGCCCCCTAAGAACACCGCCTGCTTCAGTTTGGGCACCCGGGCAGTATCACAGCCCACACACACACAAATATGGTGTGGCGCATATATATTTGGTGCCCTCTTGTACCAATATTCATGTGTTGAAATAAAAATAAATAAATAGAACATCTATGAATGTTTATAAATATGCTTATTATTACCATTATTACCACTGTTAATAATAGTAATATGGGGAAAACCAATGTATTTTTAATACAAAATTACAGAATGTCTTAGTAAAATACGAGAACTATACATTGAATAATTCACTTGAAAATTTCTACTATTTGTTCTTCACATTCTGTATGATTCTTCCAGTTCACAATTGCTTTCTATTTCCGTTTCCCTTTTATTTAACTTGATCTTCTTAACCGTCGTCTACTGCCGAGATTTCCAATTCCGATCAGTATGACATATGATTTATGTCGACAAATATAAGTAACATACATCACAACTATAATAAAATAATGTTATATAATTCTATAATCCTAATTCATAGAATTTTGAATTCCTATGGTTTTGTAACTTAGTGTAAACTATGTTATGACTTTATGTCCGGCTAGTTATTACGTGATTTATCCACAAATCAAAATACAATTTATTCAATCTTAGCACTATGCCAAACCAATGACGTTCGACTGGTATGAGCAGTCTAGCGTCCTTATTGGTCCTATGTCCGCCTAGCCCGTCCACTTGAGTCCAGAACACCAATGCCAGTTTCCACTATGCGAATCGAATGATTTATTTCAGACATACTGGGTTTATATATCAATTAAACAGACTGCAACGCATCATAAAATGGGAAATAACATTTGTATACAATAAAGCCAAAAAGTGGCTGTGAACGTGGGAAGCAGTAGTCAATAAACTGAACATTATGAACTATAGGTCAAAATAAAGCTTATAATAAGGGGAATATAAATATACATAATCTAATTATTGAGTAATTATACCATAAGAATGTATAGATAATATTAGTCAATGAATATGTCTCAGAAGTTACTGATGATTTAATCTTCGCTCGGATATAACAAACTACTTGTTGCGAATAAACAAACAAATGAATACAAGTTTAAACAGTGTAAAGGGGAACAAGGTAAAATATGTAGTATAATTAAAATCAAACTTAACATGTATCTGATTATGTTTTGATCAAGGCAATTCTATGTGTAACATCATTGTATTCATTTGTTTATATGTTGATGGGTGAGCAATAAAACTATGCCATTCATAATATGAATAAATATAATCGAGATTTGATTGTTTCTGTGAGAAATCAACAGAGTTATATTGCGATTGTTCAGATAAACAGTCTATAATTGAATGAAATAGTCTGGTCGTCCTCTCATTTTCGTAAACAACAGCGGTGCCACGAGAAGGCAGTGAGTAGGACTTCCCTGGCAGAAGCTGTATACGCATGGCCGTGTGAAAGCATTTCGAGAAGGAGGGCGGGCCCACCTCACTCTCGGCCATACCAGAACATTTGGGGGCAATTTTAGTATATGTACCGCCGAAGCGAGCGATGGTTATTTGGAATAACAGATACTGTTATTTCCTATCTAATATATTTGAATTTTTCCAGATTCACAGGATTATTGAGTCTTTTGTGTATAGCTTAAGTGTTTGATGCACGAATTCAGATTTCATGCGAACACTTTTCAATATAGATCATACTATAATCAATACAAATTAATCTATCAATACACTGAATGTAAACGCGACCTCCTTTATGTTAGATCGAACTAAAACATTTCAAGGATTGTTAGTTGTTGAATAGAAGTTTTTTTTTTAATTATTTCTGCATATTTTCGGGAGGCGTTTTCAATTCTTCTGTCATAGTGTGGCAGTAAAGTAAAACTTCGTTATCTGATGCTCAATTTATCTGAAATTATCAAATCGAACTTTAGTATGAATACCTATTTATTATTATTATTATTATTATTTTCCATATTAGCCAATTTGCCCATGTGCACGTTTATCTATTCTATTACAAATTGGTGTATCGTTAGCTGTCGCTGAACTAGAATTGAAATTTGAACATAGAGATTTACATTGGGGTAATGTTTTAATCAGTCATTCGTCATCGTCTTCATCATCAATATCAAGTAATGATAATCTCTGTCCATATTGTTGTACATTATACAATGAAGAGAATGAAAACTCATATGTGAAATTTTGTTTAGAAGGATATGAATGGAATATTCCAAAATTTGGTTACATTGTTCATTTGATAGATTTTACAATGTCTCGTTTAGAACAAGGTGAATTACTTTTATTTTTTCTCACAAAAAAAATGATAAAATTGTTATGTGTTTTTATTTTTCTATGATTTGAATTGTTCACATTTTTCGAATTCAGTTTGATGTGCATTTCGTCCTATTTTGAACTCGTCAGCTGGATGTGTACCTGCATTCCAGAGTTGCTGCTTACTCCAGGACACAAACCCAGTACCTTTCGCTGTTATCCACCATCTATATTTTCTTATAATTCTTGTGACTTAAGGTAATATCGAGGTAATCCGCACAGGATGAATATATACCAATAAGAGACTGATCAATTACAGTCGTAACCACCAATCGGAAAATTCAAACAAACAATACAAAATGAATTTAAATATTCATATTGTTATTTTGATAGTTAGGATCACGAATTGATCTTGGCTAAACCACCATTAGAAACCTGAAAGCACTCGAAGAGTGTTTCATTCTAATATGAAACTCCTCAATAGTACTCATCCAAAATAAGTAGATGTTTATTAAAATAAGGTCAGTTTGCAATACAAACTTTAACAATTCACTAACCTTTACAGATCTCCCTACAGCAATACTAAGTACGTGTTCACTAGTGACTAATTTTTAAAAGTAATCTTTTTCTCATGTTCTAGTGAGAAACCGTAACCAATGAAGTTCAACCATGTCGAGTTTTTGTCTTTATATATCAGTTAACCATCAATAATCTTAGAAGATGGTTGCACATTAGTGTGAATTGTTTGGAGTTGAACGCGTAAATCACTGAATCTCAACTCGTATTTGATTTTGAGCTATACTTTAAGTATGGGAGCTAGTGAATGCAGCAAACGCGTTGCTCAAACAGAAGTTGATGAAAGATGAAGGATAGACTTGATAAATCTAATTCAACTCTAGATTCGGTTTCCTAAGCTTTTCTAGTAACCCCAGGCTAAACCTACACAGCAACTTGAACATGAAAGAAAAGGCGCGAAATATGGGAGAGATGCATTAATCCAAGGTCCATTTATGTACAGAAAATCTTGGGTATTTATAACATTTTAGATGACCTTGGGCTTCCGGAAAATTCTGGAATGCTACTAAACATAATACCAGTATAGATAATCAAAAACGCGACATGTAACTTCCCACTTTCTAGATGTTTCTGTCAAAACTTCTATTGAATACAGATTGGATAGGATGTTTCTCAGCGTTTCCAGAGCCTTTTTTGGGCTTTTTTCGAGGAATTTTCTGTATCTCCCCAACAAGACTTGTGACTTCATAATTGTAAGTCGAATGCTGAACTACAGTTCAGCAAATAATCGTAGTTCATTGCTATTTAAAACAGTTAAGTGTTCTCACTACGCATTATATACTAACTTGAAGCCTCTTTACTCTACTTCAGAGGTTTTGATAACTGGATAACATTAGTATTCTTTATGCAAATAAATACACAAAACTCAAAACATGAATCTGTATACTAAATTGTTGAATTACAACAATTTGTTCACTTTCTTCATGTTAACTTACCCTTCCATTGTATCGCTTAATTGGTTGTTTTTCTTTTTACTCCTTCCAACTTTTAGATGAAGGTTTAGTCTACGTTGATTTAAGCACTGATCCAACTTTATTTCAATCACAAGGTGATTATCAATTTGATATATATCGTCATATGAAATCTGCAAATCAGTAAGTTTTTGTTTCTTTGTTTTTAATCATTAATTGTAATATGTCACCTAGACGGAGAGAACCATTGAAAACAGAAAGAGGGGGAGGTAGTATTAGACTATAATAGTCTATAATATATGAAATTCACTTAACAGTCTTCCCCTATCAATCTACCAGGCATCAAGCCTCTTACCATGAGGAAGTCATGGTAAAATTTTTAATGGATTATTCACTTGGGCTTGATAAACTAATTTGTTCTGACAATTTCCTCTCTCTTTGTGTGTGTGCTAATAAGTCGTAGCAAATCGAACCGTTATACATATGTGCTCGGTTCTCAGTCAGCCAATCAGATGCAGCAGAGAATCTGGCATATATATACATCGGTGTAATATGCCACAGAGCATTAATATTGTCAAAGTAAATCCCAGAGTATTAGATGTAGTGACAGTATTAATGATAATAGAACAAATAAGGCATTCATGATATAACTCCAGAATAAAGTGTAAATTGGTGAGATAAAAAAAGACTTAATGGAAAAATTTAACAACTTAGGATTTGAAGGAAAGACAAAGAGTGTATACACCTACGTCATTGTGATCGATTCTGAGCCATGTCACTCACAGTCTTCAACCATTGGTTACAATAATCACACAGACCTCAACCAACTACAATGTATCTACCAACATAGCTCAGACTAGAAGTTAAGGATTTCAAGCAATGCTGTCACATTTTAGTTTGACCACCCCTACAAATAAGATATTAGTAAACGTGAGTAGGATGTGATAAAGTGAGAAAGATTGAGTTCGTAGAAAGAAAGGTATTAAGTAATTCTAATCTCTCACAGTTTAAGGGAAGACAAAGAGTGTATACACCTACGCCATTGTGATCGATTCTGAGCCATGTCACTCAACGCTATACACTTTCTATTACTTAATATTTATATCCAAGTTAAATACTAAACTTCTTTACATTGAATATACTTTATTTATTTCCTTTTATAGTAATGATTGGAAAAAATTTACACCTATAACTAATGTAATGTGGTTTCATTATTTAACAACAAAATTATGCACAAATTCAGACCACTCATCATCATCATCGTCGGCGTCGTCGTCATCGCAATTGCATAATGTATGTTGGGAACAATTACATAATTTAGAATTTATGACACGTTCATTTAATAATTATAAATCTGCTTATCATTTAGTTACAAATTGTAATATATTTAAAAATTTCTCTAATTTTTTAAAGATTTCTTAATATACTACTATTATATTCTTCAGTTGTTCAATTCTGATACTCATATATATATACACTGACAAGTATATGGTTGTGGATATTGTTGAATTTTTTTCGATTGAAATCATAAATTGATAGATGTTAGGCCACTGTTGAAAACTTGGAAGCACTGGATGGTCGTTTCGTCCTAGTATAGAACTCCTTAGCAGTCCGCATACGAGATGCGAACCCAAGACATTCAGTCTCGCTCCCGAATGCTTAGCCTCTGGACCACTTAGCTGCTAGAATACAACGGTGTTAATGTCTAACTTTAACCAATTCACCATATTGTCTAACCACTTTACATTGTCTTCCGTGGCTACTTCAGCCTCACACCCTACACGGATTACTTTCAATAGCCACAGCTTCTCACTACAACTCCGAGATCCACCTCTCCAAGCTAGTCACTAGTCGTCAGCTAGCATAACATAATAATTATCAGTATAGGGTTGTGGAGATTGTTGACTAATTTCATCATTCAGATTATCAATCGATCAATATGATGCCTGGTTGTGATAGATTACATGCTAGCTGTGTCGAAGTACACTGTGCACAAACCTGAGTAGTGTGATGAAAATGGGGGTGTTCGCGAGCGCTTAACCTCGAAAGCATTAAGCCGGCATCCAACGATGTTAGTGTCTAACTTTAACCAATCGACGACAAACGGCCATACAGTGCTTCCAGGTTGTCTAACAAAACAATATACTTGCTTTGGGAAAACCAATAGTGAATAGGAAGCCTTTATTAGTTAATGAAATAGGAAATATTATAAACATAACTTATCTATAAATATAGATAAATGTCCCTCAGAGAACTGAGCTAAACATTCAACCAATAGCGTGTATCTTTCCTTAGAAAGCTAAACCTAATATCGCCCGATAAAGTATATCCATCAGTATTTCTAACCCAATATTTCGTTCTGAACTGGCATGTCTGATTAACCCAGTACATTATCTTTGCTTTCTGATTAATTAGCTTGGTTTGTTTTTCGATTGAGTAATAGGAAGGAAGGAGGTAATGGCGAATCATCTTCATTTCTTGGAACATAAAGAAGTGTATTAAATCAGATGTTTGATATCATTTTTTATTATCGCTCCTCAACTTCTAATTTCTATATCTGAATGCGAAGAGTTGTTGATGATGATGTTCTTTCTTCGGTACCGTACTTTTGTTTGTAAATGGTTTATCAGATTCTGTTCTATATGTACAATATATTTAATTGCTAATATGATTCATTAAATTTAATGCAACATAACATTTAAAGTTAATAACATGATTATTAAATCAAGTAACAACCTTTGAATAGCACATTATCGGTACTTGTAACATGATCTTTAATAAGATGAATACTCGACGGACCAAGTTCGTGTTAAGACTTACAAAGAATCAATTAAATGTCAAAAGCACTTTTCAAATCAGTCAGTCAGCTACAATATAGGACCTGGCACATATATGCATCGGTCCAAATAGCTACATCTCATTAGCACAACAACTGAGATCGCCAAATTCATAAAACTGTTTACTTCAATAGTGGCAATATATAAAAGAAAGATTCCATTTAAGGATATAATGCAGGAAGAAAGAGTTCGTAGAATGAAAGGTATAAAGTAATTCTAATCTCTCACGGTTTAACGGAAGACAGAGTGCGCACACACCTACCCATAGTCTCCAACCATTGATTACGATAGTTGCGCGGACCCCAACCAAGTAGTGTGTATCTACCAACATGACTTTACTGACTAATGTCACGTTTTGGTTTAGCCGCCCTTAGCTTTCTTCCATCGGTCTCCAACACTAATCAGCATTGCGCGTCGTAGTAATCGGTGTTCAGTCATAAGTATCACGTGGCCCAACCATCTCAAATATCATCTAATCATATGAGTAGTCTCATACTATGACAAAACGGTCGTCCATTGCTTCCAGGTTTTCAGTGGTAGTTTAGCTTAGATCAACTCATGAATTTAACTGTTAAAACATGATAATTGATATTTGGAAAATTTTTACTTACGACTGAAATCGAAATAAATATTTAAATAATGAATAAATAAGATGCTTTAATCTAATCATTCCTTCGGATACGGGATTGAGGTTCAAATGAAGCTAAACAATATTAGTGGCTGTATACTTGAATAGTCATTGCTCAGCGTTAGACGAGCGAGTCCCATCTCAAATCGTGGTGCAATGAGACATTACCTGAATACATCACAGACGCATTTCAACATAAGATCTGTCTGCTGACTAAGTAAATAATGAATAAATTTACAATAGTTATGTTTTCATATTAATAAATAGTTTTGACAAGTTTGATTCTCGAAATTCTGTTTAATAGTTGTAATTGGCATAATCCATCCATGTTAAATGTGTATCAATCAAAGTGATTTCTAATATCGTTGGAATTATGAATGAGATAACCATTTCCTAGACCGTGGAGAGATACCCTTTTTAGCTACCTAAGAAGAGGAGTGGGTTAATGGTAGTTTTGAAACCATGACCTACCTTAAGGGTAGTCATACATGTTTCTGATGTGTTATCTCCCTACCATGAAATGAAAAGTGCCAAACTACTCCATTGTCAAAAGCATACTGATTGGTCATTGAACATTTTTGTTATAACTTGTGCCCTGTGTACTATTAATGTAGAACGTCATGACACCGCCAATTAGAGAACAGTGATTTGTTGACCGGACCAATGACGCATAAAACACGTACGAGCATTCTAGAGTCTTTATTGATCTTGCTTACTGTCTAGCCCCAGCTGTCAAGTCCAGAACACCAATCTCAGCCTCTGCAATATGAATCATGTATTTCAAATATACTAGGTTTATATACCAACCAAACAGACTACATCGTGCCATAAAATAGGAAACAACATTTGTACAAGATTTAGCCTAAAGTAACTGTGAATATGGGAGATCGTAATTGATAGACTGAACATATCTCAAGAACGGTAAATCGTATAATAATAGTTCATAGGTCAAAATAAAACTTACGATAAGAGGGACATGAATAGTTTAGTTACTTAACAATGATACGATAAAAACATACGTATCGTATTGGTCCATAAATGGGTTCCAAAGGCACTATTCACTATATTCATCAGGATATAACAATTTTTTAATGATTAGACTTGAAAATAAGGAAATCATTCAAGTTAGAATATTATTTCGGAATGTAATACATATGAAAAATCCAGTGAGACTATAATTTATGGACGACCTTTGAGCGACGCTAGATTGACTTTGAGGATGTCCATTTAACAACTAGGGCCAAATGACGGTAATAAACCTGTATGAGGAATTGGAATTATAATTTGCAATTGATGATTAAGGTTAGGAATTAAATTTCGGGTTTTGATCATGAATTGATATAAGCTAAAATGCCAAGACTCTATTTAACCAAATGGATCAGTGAATTTCGCGTCAAAATCCGAGATGTGTTATCCTATACCTGGTTGCTTGGTCCGTAAATTATAGTCTCGCCAAAAAATTCACATAATGAAGTTTTAAGTATGACACAAACTACTTATTATTAGTAGTACATAGTATATGATATAACATGAATCGGATGAAGCTAGAAACTTTTGTATCATAAGAATTTAGTTGCAATTGAATTATGTGGTGCTAACTGAATGAGTTAAGAGGTTGTAAGAGTTCACATTTTGAATGAGTATTTACAACCAAATTAATGAAACTTTATAAACTTAGACGTTCTCAGCATGGAATTTAATTTATGATGAGTTGTATGTGTGTCACAAATATGGTTTCTAAACGAGACAATATTAATTCAACACCTAACTTAAGAACAAAATTTTTTCTTAAAAAAAAAGCCAGTTTCACATTTGTAGTGTATACCGTTCAATTCTTCTTCGATGCACTGAATGTTCATGAGCAAAGACTTGTGATAGATTATATGGCTTATATTCATTATTATGTAAAACCTTTACACAAATCCTCACCCAAATGTCCTAGTACGAACGAGGGCGGTAGATTTACCTCTCCCTGTCGAAATGCTCTCACATGGCCACGCGTATACAGTCACTGCCAGGGCAGTCCTACCAATTGCCTTCTCGCGGTGGGAGTGTTGTTTACAAAATTGAGAGGAAAAGAAGCGAATGTCCGGTGCTTTAACCGGGTTGATGGACATGGATGGTCCACCTAGGGGAAAACCCTGATTACAAATGAATGGTGCACATGGGCTCCAGTATCCTGAGGGAACCAAAGGCGTATGAACCAATTGTTAATCACTTGCTAGCATGGGACTGAATCTCCTTACATTGCTCTACCACCTTGTGGATTAGACCTTTAAGTCGAAGGCTCGGGGTGTGGACCCCTAAGAAAACCATCTCCTTCAGTCTGAGCACACGGGCAGTATCATAATCTACGCACAAATCAAATGATTTGTGTGGTGTATATGTAGTAGGTGCCCATTTGTACACCAATATTTATGTTTTCAAATAAATAAATAAGTTACACAAATCCACGTTTCCGTATTTAACAACAACGAATTACATGAAATAGACGATAAAAATTTTGAGAATCCATAGTTCAACACGTGAATTTAATTTCAATTATGTTTCAGTTATGAAAACCGAAATCGAATTAAAAGATATGAATCTAGCAGCTATCATTACTTAATGACCCGACCGAAGTTGCTACCTTGACGTGGTGGTCGGGCTCGCCCATCGTGACGACCCAACCGAGCTATATTGGCTGGAACATACGCTCCTGTAGGTTCTGCCATGCCAGGCAGGTCGATTGGAGAACGGTAAGACTGAAAGCAGCGACTCAAGATCTGAGAGCGAAGTCGTACTGCTGACTGTAGAGGGGTGTGACAGCAGTAAGGTGTTGCCCTCAGACAACCAGCATCTACAGCGATGCTGTCTTCTCACAAGGAAGGAAGGGGTTAGAAAAGGTCGACCCTAAAAATGTCACACCTTACCTCACAGATTTCCGTCTCCGGCGGTAAGGCCTTTTGAAGAACGGAGCTAATACGTCGACCCCTCCACACAAAAAGGCTGTGCGCGACCGGTCTCAAGCAGTTATCCCCTGGGCTCTGCAATCACGCTCCCAGGTCGTTAAGACCGACATTAATCCGACTTCCTTTTCAGGTTCCCCAAGGAATACCCTTCCACGGTGTGGGCAGCCGGGAAGTGCTATCAGCCTTCATACCCGTAACAGCACACGAGACCAAGTCGGTCACATTCAAATCCTTCCTATACCTCATTATTTAATGTCTACATCAGTCAGATAGTTGTTTATGTGGAGGTAAGAAACAGTAGTATACAGAATGTCAATTTCATGAAGAATGGTCATATGTATCTTCAGAAATACATAAATTAATGTAGCCCCTAACATATTTATTTCATTTACTGTTGAAGAGATTTGTGATATACTTCTGTATACTTCGAAGTAGGTGTGTGGATGAACATACTAATATTTTCGATGAAACTTGGAAAAGCCTCAATTAGTCCTGAGAGCTATTTATTAAGATAATTCACTAAAGAAAATAACTTGATGAAACTATGATTTATCGAAAACCTTTATGCGATGCTAAAGTGGACTTTCTAATAATCACCTATTTACTGGGGTCAAGAGAAGGCTGCAATTTAGTGTGTGGAGCTAGGATTATGATTTAAAGTTAGACGTTAGTGTTAAAAATTAGAGTTAGACTTTTCACTGCGAACTGACAGATATAGTGTCGAAATGTTATTCAGTCATATGAATAGATGGATTTTGCGCTAAGGTCTAGTGACTGGTCCGTCCATAAATTATGACCTTACCAACAGTTTTTTCCAAGTAGATAACGCATTTCAAAACCGGCAGAATAATGAAATTTTAGGAAAAGCCTCAAATTTCTATGATTTGAATATTGTACAACCAACGTTTCATCATATACCAGTTCGTGCATTTAGTAAACAAGTTGAAGACCATGGAGAATACCTCTAGCCTGTGATGAGCATGTTGGGTGTGTTATGTTATTCTCCCATCCTGGAAGACAACAACAATAAATAGACAGATAACATAAACTGAATAATCATCAGTTTATATATTTTTCCAGTATTTCAAACTGGTTATCTTTTCTCTATTAGGTCGAACTCCATGAAATAAAGT